TGTGGTTTATGGCAAATTATATGGAGTTCTTTTGATTGTAGCCAATTGGCCACGTCAAATTGTAGCTCTTGTAGAAATGTAGGTTCATTCAACCTATCAATCAAAGCCATCATCCCATAAGTGGTACTTGTAGAAATGTAGGTAAAAAGGAAATTTATACTGATGTTTGGTAAGAATGTTACTGGCATAGTTGTGCAAGCACGGAAAAGGAGATATGGATTTTTGTATTCAGGATTAATGGGCACTTTGTTTGGATAGAAAAGAAGGAAAAGAAGGGGAGGGAAGAGAAAGGAAAGGGAGGGTAAAGGTGAGATCCATTTCCCCTCCAAATCTCTCCAATTTTGGAGGGATTGTGCTTCTTGAAGAGAGGGAAAAAGGATCCCTTTCCTCCCCCAATTCTTTACCCAAACAAGAGAAATTGTCCTCCTCCCTTTCTCTTCTCTTCTTTTCCTTGTATTTCCTTTTATCCAAACTAACGGTGTGTTTGGATAAAAATATAGGAAAGAAAAGAAAAGGAGGTGACAGAAGAAAAATGAGTTTTCCTTTCCAATTGTTGGTGAGATCAATTTCTTATAATTTAATCCATTCATTTCTCTCCCCTTCAATTCTCTTCTTTCCTCATTTCTTATCCAAATATAAGATCATTAATCCCTCCATTTACCTTCCCTTCCTTTCCCTCCATTTTCTTCAATCCAAACAAAGTGTAAGTGAGACTAGTTATGTGTCATTTATCTGTTCACCTGCTTTGGTTTTGTTTTCTTTCCTCTTTGTTAGTGTTGCGGATTATGCCAAACTAAGGCAAATGTGTTCATTTGCCAATAGACGTCTGATAAACTATATGATCCCTATAATGAGTCATTTGTGCATTATACTACGCAGGGGACTTCATATGAAAACATGACTATAATTGTCAAGGACTATGTTGAGGGCTTAATAGCCAAGTATCCTTACTGGAATAGAACGTTGGGAGCTGATCACTTTTTGGTTACTTGTCATGATGTTGGAGTGAGAGCATTTGAAGGGTTGCCATTTCTTATAAAGAATTCTATTCGAGTAGTGTGCTCCCCAAGTTATGATGTAGGATTCATCCCTCACAAAGATGTTGCTTTGCCACAAGTACTACAGCCCTTTGCTCTTCCTGCTGGAGGAAATGACATAGAAAACAGGTTGGTGAACGTCTGTTAGTTAATTTCTTGTTGTTGTAACTCTTCATATCACCTTTCTTTGTAACCCTCCCCCCTTTCCCCTCTCCCTCTCAAAAAAAAAAAAAAAAAAAAAAGAAAAAGAAAAAAACCTACTGCTCGTGTTTTTTATGTCCTTGTTTGTATAGGGTTTTCAAATTTAATTTGGGTTTTCTCTATGGTAATTTTGATATCGATCTAGTAACTTGTGTATTTGTTATCAAACCTGGAAGTGGAAGTTAACAGTTGTGGAGCTCCGGACTGGTCAATCATGAAAAATCAATAAGTGGCCTGGACTCAAACCAAACAATATTGAAGATGTATGAATTTGTAAATATTTATAAATTACCCTGGGCTTTTCTGTTACCTATCTCAACTTCGGACAAAAATGTTGTTTATTTGTCCAAGTCTCATAGCAAATGACCAGAGCAGGTTTTGCATCTAGGCACGGGAGATTTTGGAAGAACATTTAGTTTCTAGTTGAGATTCAATTTATGTTCCCAGGCTTTAATTAAAAGGTGTACCTAGGTATCGTTGATTGGCAGAACTTGATATGCAAAATCCAACATTAATAGTTGAAAAATGGCGGGGCAGAACTAATTTGTGAAAAAATGACCCTAAAAATCACTAAATGTGAGTGGTGTTGGAATAAATGTCCTTGAGTGTTCCATCACAAAGATAATTTGCAAGGGGAGGAATGGAGGAATGTTGTACATTCCAATGTGGTTGTTCACTCTTCAGTATTAGTCATACTCATATGTGCAAAACACATATATGGGAGTCGTCACTCCTCGGTCCTCACATGTGAGTGTCCTTTTAACTATGCACATTGGATAGGTATAAAGAAAAATTTCCTTTGGGGTTGGGTATCTTATTATTCTCAAATCCTTATCCAGTAAACAAGCCAACCTTTGCTATGACGCCATGTTTAATTCTAGATGTAGTGGATTCGCAAGAAGTCCTGTTGCTCCTCTACGCCTTCTCATATACGTATCAGCTGTGTCATCCTAACAAGGACTTTAAACAGACAGTGAAAAGAACAACATTTTAGATTCAAGTGCTGGCAAGTTTTGGTTGCAAAACAGTAGAAAACGAAAGGAAGACATTTGTTTGTGAATATCAAGGGGTGGGATATTTACTTCTGAACTCTGAAGTTTTTCATATTGCTCCACTTGGTGAATTAGTGCTAATTAATCTCTCTGTTTTGAATTGCTAATCTGTACGGGTCCATCTAAGACATTGAATGAATTTCATTGGAGCCAATATAGGGTAAATTTTTTTATGGCTAGCAGGCTAGGGATAAGATAGCATAAATTTGTGCCTTAAAAATCCTGCCTATTTTAGTAATCTGGTGGGCTTTGTTATATTTATTATTGTCTGGGTCATCTTTGTGCAGAATATCTGTAACTAACAGAAATTACACTTTGCAGGACAAACCTTGGATTTTGGGCAGGCCATCGTAACTCTAAAATTAGAGTCATATTGGCCAGAGTCTGGGAGAATGACACAGAACTTGATATATCTAACAACAGAATAAATAGGGCTATTGGGCCTTTGGTATATCAGAAGAGGTTTTATAGGAATAAGTTTTGCATATGCCCTGGTGGCTCTCAAGTTAACAGTGCTCGTATAACAGACTCAATCCATTATGGATGTGTTCCTGGTAAGTTTTTTCTGTATCAATTGTATGGGTTGTGGGAATGGTTAATATTGTATGTATTCACATCACCTAATATACTCAGAAAAATAGTGTGACCTTGATAGTTAATGTGCACTACTTCATGTTAAGCTTCTGTCTCAACACAACATCTTAGGTCTCAGATAATTGTTTTAGTTAAGCCTTACTGCAGCTTATGCAGTGACCTGGCTTAAGAAGTTTTAAAGTTAAAGTTTCTGTTTGTCTCTCTTTTCTGCAGTTATTATATCAGATTACTACGATCTGCCTTTTAACGACATTCTTGATTGGCGAAAATTTGCTGTTGTGCTGAGGGAGAGGGATGTCTACCATCTCAAGCAAATTCTTAAGGCCATAACAGACGCAGAATTTAAACGGCTTCATGAGAATTTAGTCAAGGTAATGATTTTATGCTGGCTGAAATTTTGACATTAAACTGAATCTGACAGCCTTAGGAACCCTTGTGAGCGTGTTGTTCTCTGTTTATGTTGCTCTGGTTAAACATTCTCTGAAACTCTAAAAGTGGATCTTCCTGAAGCCATTTGTTTTATATGACACAGCTATGATTTATAGTTTTTAGGTATATACTTGATGCTACTTGCAGTTAGTCTCCCTTTATTAGTCATGATGTTCATGAAGCAGGGTAGAACCTGGCTTTGTAGATTTGAAGAATGTATCCGTAACTCGGAAGAAAAACTTGAGTGCTACACAAATAAGCTGAGAAGATAAAAGGAGAGAGGGGGGGGGGGGGGTAATATGGCATCTTCTTTACTCACTTGAAAATCAGCATAAACTATGAAGGTCTTTGTGATTATCATCACTAGCTGTTCAGTTCCAGGTTATATCCCACAATGATATGTGATGATAAGAAAAGGGCAAAGATACACGTTTATTTATACACCAGGATTTGCAATTTTTGAAATTCTTTTAATCCTTTTGTATCAGGTACAAAAGCATTTTCAATGGAACACCCCTCCTATCAAGTATGATGCTTTCCATATGGTTATGTATGAACTCTGGCTGCGGCACCACGTTATCAAGTACTGAGTGTTTTTTGACACGTTATAAAGTATTTCTTTCACCTCCTGTTTGTACACTCAATAGATACCAGAACAGTCTCGAAGATCAAAGGAAAGTGATGCCTAACTGTCATGCCTGCCAATTCTGTAGCTCTGTAAATTATGACCTACTGTTTTGTTATACAACAATACTCTTTCTTATATGTAGGATGTATCAAAATTTTAAAGTTTATGGCGTTGTTCATTCATTTTGTAATCCTTCATTCATCTTTAATCTTTTTGCTCCACTTCTTGCTGAAGTATAATCTCATTCTTAACCATCTAGCCACGTGAATTTTTACAATCTCATACTTGCTTGAAGTTAACAGCTTAAATGCAGGAGCGACGTTCAGACTGGTTAGTTATCTTTGTACAAGCTGTTTCCCTTGTGTTTAAGCTGGTGGACTGCCCATGGATGATCACTACTGTTACTACTATTATTGTACAAATTTTCAAGCTTGTAACATAAAAATTTCTATAATATGTATCCTGAATTCCTGATACTACTATGCTCACTTAAGCTTCCTATTTTGAAATTTGGATTTCATTTCCATGTTGCTTTTGGATTTAGCTTAATTGTTGAGAATTAAATTCATATAAAAATCTAGAGGTGGTTATCTATCAAATTCATACTCAACTGTTTTGGAGTGGCTCTTACTTTAAAGGTGCTCTTGTCCTTAAGTCTAAATTTTAACTTTTTTTTGATAAATTAGTGTGAGACAGTCTCATTGAAAACAAGATTAGTGCATCCTCATTACTATAAGATTTTATTATATAAAATTTCATTACTCATAACTAACAATCATACTTTTTTTTTTGGTGCACATGATTTGCAAGCCAATCCGCGGCTCGATTTCTTCTCAATAGACATGATGAACTTCGACTTGCCAACTATCGTCTTACCAATAATCATACTTTGTACTTTTGTAGTATATAATAATGTAAGATCTCTTCCAAGTAAACCAAATCAATATATTTTATTCTCATATTCATTTAAGATTTCTTAACCAACGAGAGTTGGCGCAAGTGGTAATTAACTTGATATTTCTGAAGGAAGATCTCGAATTCGAGCATCACCGCATCTTGTCGAATCCCAATGTAGTTGCAGCTAAGCACGGGCAAATCTGGTGGATAACCAGTTTTATTTTATTTTTTAATTCAGTGACAAGTGGTAATTATATGAGATAACTTTGCACTGTTCATATGTAAAACCACCAACATCAAAACCGCTATTGGTAATAAGTGTTTCATCCACAATATTACAATTTTACCTCTTTATCCCTTTTCTAGTTTTCTGTCGACTAGAAAAAACTGGGACAGTCTCATCAGTCCTCAAAAATTATGATTGATGATGACAAACCACTTTCCCGCCATGTTCTAGTGTCGCCAAATTGTTCATCTTTAAAGTGCATTAATCAGATTCAAGGCTGTATTTGCATTATCTTTTTAAGAATTCGAACAAGTTATGTTATTCAAGCGATTTGTAGGTAACTAATTCTTCTCACAAATTATACTTGTATAATGTTGCCCAGAATCCCTAATTTTTCAAATTATGTTCTATGATTTGTAATTTTTCAGCTCTTTTGATTTCATCTTGTTGTTCTGAAATTTTTTTATTGCATTGAATCTAATTCCCATTATACTAGGTATAAAACCTTGTATTATGCTATGATTTATGAACATATCCGTGTTATTACAAAATTTGTCAACTTTGAACATTAATTTTGTTATAGTATGAATGATGTGTCTGTAATCTTACTGAAATGTTTCATAGATGAAAACTATTGCACTTATAGTATCATTAAATTGATAAAATTGTTGGACAAATTTGTGGTCAAACTTATTAAGCTTATTGAAGTGAGGTCAATTGGAAATAACCAATCATGAATGCAAGGGTAAGATTGTGTACATCCGACCCTCCCCCGACAAAATTGTTTGACTAATTTGTGGTGGAAGTTAGTAAGCTTATTGAATTAATGTCAATTGGGAAAAATTAACCAATATGTGATCACAAGGGTAAAATTGTGTACATCCGACCCATCTCCCCTTCCATACCATGCTCAAAACAGGAGCTTGGTGTGAACAATCGGGGTAGTATAGTTATACTAACGCTGTTGTGGTCACCATCAATTTTGAGAGTCAAAAGTGACGTTTTGCTTTGAGGACGTGATAGGTTTTTGAATCTGTGTTTGCTGGATGTTGGTATTGAGTATATATCTTGACATATCTTCTCAACTTATCTTTAGTTTTAGCTCTAGAAAAGGCAGGAAGCATATTGTGCGATATCTTGTATTTGTATGAGTATGATTTTTGGTTGGACAATTTTTTTCGTGATGCTATGAGGGGGTGGGGGTGTTCACGTTGTTGGAGCTTACGAATCATTTCATTACCACTTTACAAATTACAACTGTTGATGAATGGGAAATCAAATTCAAGTGTGGTTAATATTCTGATGCATTCTGCTAATCAATTGCACAACAGAAGCTATTTTAAATTTTTACGTTAAATGATTGGTGGAAGAGTCATTACAGAAAATGAGGGAAAACAAATGAATACATTGCCAGAATTGGTATCTAAATGGTTGATGCTTCTCACCTTGGTGGTTTGCATATTCTTATATTAATTTCTTTTCTGTTTTGTCAGATATAATATGTGGAAGTTGAATACTAGAACTTGATTTAGGCAAATGCTACAAATGTTCACCAGAACTCTGTATTTGATTGTTCTGTCTTTATTCTTCCAAGCCCCTTGGCCTTGGCATTGATCTTCCCTACATATGAAGCATTATGGAAGTTTCTTTAATAAGCTACCTTCTGTTCATGTAAAGAAAGTTTACATCGAACTTGGGATCTGTTGTGATTTTTTGCTGGTTGTACTGTAAATGCCTTAAATAATGGATGATATATGATATTTTTGGCTATGATTGTAGCTTATATCCACTGTTGAGTTGTTAGTTTTGAATTATTATTGTGCGTCTTTGTGTTAGGTAACTAACCTTGGGTTCTAAAATGCTTCCATTGAAGTATGACAATCCATTTAGTCACATGTTAGCTCTGGAAGTGGAACTCTGGGATCAAGCATCGGAGTCTCTTGTAAGTTACACTTATCCAACTTCTTTTAAATACCTTCAAAAGTTGCCCATGTGACGTGAGAAGATAGGCAAATACCCTCAACTATTTCTGTCTGTATTTTAATGTTTTTGAGCTATGAGGTTCCATTTGTTATGTATACTTTTCCATTGGAAAAAGGCTTTGTTCCATTATGAACAATTGTAAACAAACAAACACCAATATAGACTGAAACACCAATATGTAAGTAACCAATGTGATGCATGCTGCATGCATCATTAAAATAATGGTATGGTAAGTAATAATGGGTGAGGAGTTTGGCCGTTTGGGTTTTAATAACTCTGACACCTTAATAGGAACCCAGGATGCTAAGATGCCAAGTTGGTGACTACATAGTTCTGCATTAGTCACATTATTGAATCAAACTCATTCTCGGAACTTTATAGAGCTATTTGCATGGTCATTATGGCTCTAAATCAACTTATATGACCCATGGGACCCCTCCATACATTTAGCTCAATTTTGTGAAAGTTTCCCGAAGTTGGTCCGAAATCATGAATTATAACCTTTAGTTTTGGATGATTTTTTTTTACTTTTCCGAACCAGAATGGAAAGCACTCGGGGTGCTTCACATAGACCCCATGTCTACCCGGGAGGCCATTTTGGTGATTGAAACCATCCAATTTGTCTGTAAATTCTCAATTTAGCTAATTTCAGATGCACCTCCCTTAATTAACTAAAGGCCATCACAGGCCTTTATGTGACTGACTAGTGGTTGTACATGGTTCCAAACAATATTGTGTGGCCCTAGGATGTAGTTTGTACCATATTTGAGTTTTTCGTCGCAGATTTTAAAATTTCCAAATTTCTTATGATGAAAAAGGCTACATATGCAATTATGCAAGCCACGATTCATCAATTCAGCATGAAGTATTAAATTAAATCTGCTTTGTCAGCTTATTTATTTCTTTTGATTTTACAGCGCCGGAATTCTGCATGACAGTGGTTTGATTGAAAGTGTGAGAAGAGTGTAGAAATGCATTGGATGAGAAGTTAGGCATTGGTTGAAATGCTCAACTCATGCCTAGGGAAGAAGCTTTGCTGGGAAAAACATTGGGCATCACGTCATAATACTGGTTTCGGCTATGCCCGGTGGGCTGGTATTATTCCCGGTATTTTTCTTATCCTGAGTCAATCATGGAAGAAAAAGGTGAAGTTTGTCATGTTGTACATGTACTGATGTCAGTTTCTAGATTCATTACCTTACAACATTGCCACACTCCTTGACCAGGTGCAAGCAACTATGTACAGTCAAGTTTTACATTTTCTAATCAACAAACAACTTAAAGCATTCGATCAAAGGAGTAAGCCTGGAATTAAACTATGTCTATCAATCATGCATGGTTAAGGCGGCTTGAAGTTTGTTGTTTACAAGTTATATGATCATCATGTAACTCTTCATATTACCTTTCTATAAATAGTATCTTTTTGCTAACTATGTATTTCATTCTTTTGTTAATTGTTACTCAAAACATTTTTTTTTGCTCTTTTTATTTTATTTTTTTTCCTTTTTTTGTTCGCTTATATTCTCCCTCATGGAAATTGACATGTGCTTTCAATGTTTTAACACTGGACAAAGTGCACAAGAAAAGGGACCGACACATGTTCCAAAGTGCTATGAGGTTCCCTCCTCTGAACGTCCCAGCTTGAGTTCACCCGAAGCTCAGATTCCTGTCGTTGACCTGGCTGGATTGCGAATGGGCCCTACTCACCGCTTAGCTGTCATTGAAAGCATTGGACAAGCTTGCAAGCGCTTCGGATGTTACCATGTAAACCTAATTTTCTTTATATTTTGTGTGAAAATTAGATTTATTGGCCCACTCTCCTATATATATGATTTTATTTCGTGCATTTGTGTATTAGCCAAATATCCAGCTGCTACATCCCTAATTTAATATTTTTTACTAAGTCAAAGGATAGTGATCTGATTTAGGTGAGAAATTTTAAGGTCTTTATTTTTGTACAGCCAAAGAATAGTGACTTAAGTGAGACTTTTAGTGTTAAAGACTTAGTAAAGACTTAAAGCTCAGCTTAAAGTTTTTTGTTCAACATATTTCAGGAAAAGTTCTTCTAAAGGCTTAAGATAGTTAACGTCTATATGCATTTTCTAAAGTTTGATGGGCAAAACTTCCAGCAAGGGGGATCAGCCTGTAATAAGACTTTAATTAGCATGCCCATATTTTGCATTTTTGGGTGAAAAGCTAAATTAATAATTATTCTACATTGTTGTATATGATACACTAAGAGAATATTGTGCTGCAGGTTGTTAATCATGGCATTGACCAGTCAATCTTAGACAAAGCACTTGGTGCTGCAGATGAGTTTTTTCACTTACCTGCTGATGAAAAATTGAAGTTTATGTCGAAGGATGTACACAAACCAGTGAGATATGGGACAAGTCTCAAGGATGGTGTTGATAAGATTCAATTTTGGAGAGTTTTCCTTAAACATTATGCAAATCCCTTGAACGACTGGGTTCAGTCTTGGCCTGAGAATCCACCTGCTTACAGGTATGTTATCTAATATTTATTTTGTGAATTGCATCATTATAAAGTATTACCTATTATTTAGGATATATATTATGCAAGCACCTGATTTGTGTAGATAGTGCTTAATATACCTTTTTATGTATGAAGTGAAAGACGAATGCAGTGTTGTAATTGCTTACGAAGTATGTTGCTCATACTCTTCCTAAGACATGAATTGTATGTTCATTTATGTCATGAATTCAGCTTCCATGTTTCTGATAAAAATGCTACTTGATTAATCAATCAATAAATTAGTTTAAATGATAGACATAAAATTCAGCATGGAAAAAAGAACAAGGAAAATGAAACTGTTTATCCATACATGTTTTCTTTAGCTCCGTCACTATTTAATTGCATACTCAATGCATGTGGCTTCCTTTTTTATTTATTTATTTATTTACTATAAGTGGTATTTGTGACCTCATGTCTTGGTTTGAGGGTTACGTTAGAGTACAGAAAATGCCATGAAAGCGGGTTTAAATGCAAGATAACATTAAACAAATGCTCCTCCATCTGTGCTGAAATTCATGAATGAATTCAGCATGGGAAAAAAAGAAGCTTGTTTCAAAACCATAAGCAGAAATTGACCCCCTTTTTCTAATACTAAAATATATAAGCAAATGCGTATGCGTATGCATATGCGTATGCGTATACTTCAGCATCTATTCAAAAGAAGAAGATCAGCATTTACATCAGCTTGGTGTCTGGTTGATTTTTCTAATGTTATTTAAAATATTTTATATTTTATATTTTTTTATTTTTTGAGGGAATGTTTTGTGGATCGATATCAATAATAAAGATAATCATGTGCATGTGTCTCTCTTTATTTTGCCTTGCCTAATTGCCTTAAACCCGATTCCAGAAGTGACCTCGGAGGGAGAAAAAAAAACCCCTAATTTCAGGAATTTATCTTTGCCTAAATTTTTTGTATACATTCCTGCAGTCTTGCAGTATTGCCTCATTTGTTAAAATTTGGAGTTTTCTATTTGGATTTTGTACTCATTTGTCTTATATCTTGGGGGTGCAAATTTGCTGCAACACTCGCTGTTGACTTATTTCTTTGTGGGTGTGAATTTGCTGCAAAACTTGTTTCCTTATACAATTAATACTCCTGCCCCTAAAATAATTACCGTGTTAGCTTTTGGTCTTCCTCACAAAGATTAAGAAAAGTGGTTACATATGACTAAAAATGATGAAAGTGGATAACAAAAAAGTGTAAGAAATGAGTATAAAGTGGGGGGCCTAAGTGCGCATTGTTATGATCCCAAACCATATTTAAGTAGGGGATTATCTAGGAGAGGGATGTACGCTCGTTGCCTTATGGTTTATAATACTTAGCACGTAATACTGGTAGTAGCCATCATACTTGATTTGTTGATTTTGATATATGAATATATGGTCACTCGTAGCCTTATACTACTAAGCAGTAAGCACGTAGTAGTAGCCATCATACATTCATACTTGATTTTGATATATGATCTTTTTACTGATTATTATCTTACTACTGATTTATAAACATAAACTTTTACATTAAACTTTATTGTAGCCATTGCAATAGTAAGAACTACACCACCGCGGATAGGAAAATTCTGAGATTAAGAAAGTAACTTTATTTCTTTTTCATGACTACAAAAAAATTGTGGCCTTTGTAAAACTTATCATGATTGATAGGGGAGACATGGGAGCATACTCTTCAAAAGTGCAAAAACTAGCAGTGGAATTAGCAGGAGCTACCACAGAGAGTCTTGGCTTGGGTTCCAAGTATCTGAGTGAGAAGATGGAAGAAGGCATGCAGGTAATAACCACAAACTGTTACCCACCTTGTCCTCAACCTCGTCTCACGCTTGGATTGCCTCCACATTCGGATTACAGCTGCTTGACCATCCTACTTCAGAGCTCTCCAGGGCTTGAAGTCATGGACATGCAAGACGGTGGCTCTTGGAAACTTGTGCCCTACATTAGTGGTGCCCTGCTAGTTCACATTGGAGATCATTTTGAGGTTTTGAGCAATGGGTTGTACAAAAGTGTGGTACATAGGGCTGTTCTTAATTCCCAGAACACTAGGATATCCATTGCAAGCTTTCACAGTAAGGGGTTGCTTGAGAAGATGGAGCCTGCTCTTGAGTTGGTGGATGCAAATCATCCCAAGGCATACAAGGGAAGTAGCTTCAAGGATTTCTTGGATTTTCTAAGTGCTAATGATGTTGGGCAAGGGAAAATATGCTTCCTGGACACCCTTAAAATAAAGTAGTTAGCCTATCCTTTAAAGTAAAATAGTAAGCCTATCCTTTATAGTCAGCCATATATTTCGAAATTAAGTTTTTACCGCCCATCTCTCTTTTTTTTTTTTTTTCTTTTTTCTTTTTTGTTTTTAAATAATGATATTATAAAAAATACGCAGTACTGTTTCCATTCCATAATGTTCTGCCCACATTATGTTTTAGTTCATTCCATGAAGTTTTACTCATTTAACATACTCTTTTGCTGTTTTGCATGGCCATAATGTAATGAACGCTGGGGATTCCTGCGTCAATGATTTTATAAATATCTGAAAGGTGCATATGCGCAAGTTGTGAATTTGTCATATACTAATGTGAGTAATGTAGCCAGATTCAGTATGTTACATCATTCCTATACTCCCAGATCAGGTGCGATCAGTTTCATGTACACATAGGTCAATAATTTTAAGTGAACATATTCTGTTTATAGAAAGAGACAATATTTGTTTAATAAAAGCATACTGTCTTATTGTGAAATTTACATCATACAGTTTAAAAAGGTAAATTTTGGATGCTAGCTTAGCTTAAGCTGCATGAATTTATCATTAAGCATGGTTGTGGTTTATAATTGTAACTTTTCTTAGACCCTTACAAGAGCATGACTACTTTAGAGTAATTTTCTATATATATAGCAATCTATTCTTCAAACTATATTTTTCATTTCCATATAAATCTTTGTCTCAAATTGTTACTTAGTTGAACATATTCATTTCATCTCTAAAATACATATACATATATACTTAACCTAGGTGATCATGGAAAGTGATAGGTACTTTCAAACTTATAGCACTGGACAAAGTGCACAAGAGAGGAAATTGTCACATGTCCCAGAGTGCTATGAGGTTCCTCCCTCTCAACAACCCACCTTGAACTCACCCCAAGCTCAGGTTCCTGTGGTTGATTTGGCTGGATTTCGAATCAGCCCCATTCACCGGTCTGCTGTCATTCAAAGCATCCGCAAAGCATGTGTCCATTTTGGAATTTTCCAAGTAAGTAAACCTATTATGATAGTTTTGTCCTATACGATATCATTTTTGGGCGTCATTTAATTTTTTAAGAAAAAACCAGGGATGACATTCAAGATTTGCTTGCAGATCAATTATTCATCATGTGGTGACTTTTATTGAGAATTGGATTTACATTTTACGACTTTTATATGGTACAATATTGATAATTCTTATATGCATCTATATACTTATGCTAATATTATTATCCTGCCTCACTACTTGGTCACTCTTTCGTATGTAACTGTACATTATTTGAGCAGTGGAAACTATGTTGAACAAAGCCAGGTTCTTTATTCAGCTCACAATACACCATAATATGTGGTGAAAGAGAGAAACAATGGGGTTGTTCATAGTTGTATATATTGATCAACAGATCATTATATAACTTGCAACTTTGCAAATGGATCTCATGAATTGTTTTGTGGTCTGATACTATATTTATGGTGGTCCTGTCAAGTAAGGATGTTAAAGCATCAAAGACCTTTACTTATTACATACAAATGGATATGTATGTGCAGGTTGTTAATCATGGCATAGACCAGACGGTCCTGAACAAAGCACTTGGTGCCGTGGATGGCTTTTTCCGATTGCCTGCAAATGAGAAACTGAAGATTATGTCAAATGATGTTCACAAACCAGTGAGGTATGGGACGAGCCTCAAGGATGGCGTTGATAAGATTCAATTTTGGAGGGTGTTTTTAAAACTGTATGCGAATCCCTTGGAAAATTGGGTTCAGTCTTGGCCTGAGAATCCACCAACTTACAGGTATATTATCTGAATTATCTTAATACTCTAAATGGCATAAACTCAAACTACCACGTTACCATGCTGAAGGCTAATCTGTGTACATACCCACATTAAAAATACACCTTAGGAAAATTCAAGTTGTCCATATCAAGTCTGTTTTAGCCCAAAAGAAAGAAGATAATTAACAACAAGAGTTGCAATGCATGTGTGACTCTAGATTCGAATTTCTATTGCTTGTGGGACATAAGATATTATTTGTGACCTCATGCATTTGACTGTCTGAGTTTTGAGGGGTTATTTTGAGCACAGAAAATTCCAGGCAAAGAGTTTAGATCAAATAAATGCTCCTTTGTATGCACTGAAATTCATGTATCTATGCATGAATTTTGGAAATAAATAAACCAATCTATTATCAACCATTAATAAACTTAAGCTACTCTTATTCTAATGTTAATTTGGCAATGTCTAACAGAAACATATACAAGCACAAGCACATGAACCTAGTTCGTCATGTTCTAGAAAGATAAACAAGGGCACTAATTACATCTGTTTGGATCTATATGATGTTTTTAATGTCTTCTGATAATAGAATTTTATTATTTAAAGAAAATAATTCATGCACTTGTCTTTATATATATAGAGCCTTGATTTCATAGGTAACCTCATAGGGGGCAAGGGGGTGTAAAAGTAACTCTCATAAGGCATCCTTTACTTTGCTGTTAGGGTATTTCAGTTATCCATTGCATGCTCCAACAGACATGAAAGTGCCTTCGGAACTTAGGAAATCGTGTTAAGATTGATTCGGTAGGCACAGTAATAAACAATGGTAAAACTGATAATGATAAATTCCGAAGAGATCTGATGTAATACACCTAGGAGTTTAGGACCTTAGAGGTGGGATAGCATTTTGTAATGATGCATGGTTGCATGAACGTTCTCATGGGATTTTATTTGCAAAATCACCATTACCACCTCTTGTTAGTACCTAACAAACGAGTTGTTAAAACTTTAGGGTATGAGTGAAAATTTTCAATTAAGGAGTTTATCATTTGCCTAAATATGTATGCTGTTATACTCCTGCAACATTTTCTATGTGAAATAATTCGAAATTATTATACATTTATACCAAATGTCAACAATTAGAGCATGTTATCTTTAGCCTTCATATTATATGATCCTTTGGTTAATTTCCATCTATGCATTGGATAACAGGGAAAACATGGGAGCATATACTTCAAAAGTGCAAAAATTAGCAGTGGATTTAGCAGGAGCTATCACAGAGAGTCTTGGTTTGGGTCCAACGTATCTGAGTGACAAAATAGGAGAAGGCATGCAGGTAATTACCTCAAACTGCTACCCGCCGTGTCCTCAACCTCGTCTCACACTTGGATTGCCTCCTCATTCTGATTACAGCTGCTTGACCATCCTCTTACAGGATTCTCTCGGGCTTGAAATCGTTGACAAGCAAGATGGCCCGTGGAAACTCGTGCCCAACATCAATGGTGCCCTGGTAGTCCACATAGGAGATCATTTTGAGGTGTTAAGCAATGGGCTGTACAAAAGTGTGGTGCATAGAGCTATCGTTAACTCACAGAAGACTAGGATATCCATTGCAAGCCTCCATAGTTTGGGGTTGGATGAGAAAATGGAGCCTGCTCCTGAGTTGGAAGATGCGGATCATCCCAAGGCATACAAGGAAAGTAGCTTTAAGGATTTCTTGGATTTTCTTAGTGTTAATGATATTGGTCAAGGGAAAATCTGTTTCCTTGACACCCTTAAAATAGTATAATGTAGAACTAAAAATATATCGTTCCTGTCTTAAGCAACTTTTTATTGGATTTATCTTTTATATAATTGTTACACCATAACATTAGGCCTGCTACTCCCTTCATTCCTAAGATTGCACCATTTGACTTTTCATAGTTTGAAAGGTAAATATCTTTGTTTTTGTACGCTTAAAAATATTTTAGTAGTTTCATGAACAATACTTTGGGGCATTGGATTTTTTTTTTTTTTTTTTTTTTTTTTTGGCCACAAAGCGCGAATCAAGATCAATGAAGTTAAAATTCTAAGATCAAACATTGAATTGAATCTAACAAGATCTCACGTATTTGTAATATTTCGTTTTGCTCAAAATTTAAAATTTTAACCCAAAAAATTACTATGAGGGACGAAGGAATGAAGGACGGTAAGAGTACAAAGTATAAAATATAAATGTCAACGAGCAACGTGAAAGTTACTACATATGGGCCAAAGACCATAGTTATTGTAATGTAAACAGTTTGCAAATTTTCTAATTCCCTGCAAATGAGATTACTAGTTCTTGGTTGTTAAAGTATGTACATATTAATTACAGGTCTGTTGATCCAAATGGAAATGTTATTCAATGATATTGATATGTCCTGAGTACTGAGTAGGCAAATTGTCATAATTTTATTGTATATATGAAGTTATGAACAACACATTTGACCCTTGACCTTGACTACCAAAGCATTTTGTGAAATTTCTAAGTAATATTGGTGGGGCCATCTTCCAAACCGATTTAAATACCCCCTCTCATTAATAAAAGATAGTCTCTTAGCTTACTACGTATTTTATCTAAGTATCTCATTTAAGCCAAAAAGCTATCATAAACAACCGTCCAAGTAATCACTGTATGGGACACTTGACATTTTTGTGAAAAAAATTCTCTCCAAAAAGCTTTTTTTTTGGAAACAAAAAAGCTAAAACTTTTAATAATTTTTTTTTATGTATATATTTAACACATAAGAATTTAAAGGGTAGATATTAATAAATTCAAATTTTTTTTAAAAAAAAAAAGTGTTACGGAGTACATAAGTAATTTAATTTCAATTGACTATTATTATCAATAAATCTTACTCTATAAATCCGTGCATTGCTATAATCACTATTAATGCCATTTTGGATTGATGATAATCCAAGAATTAGATGTATAATTACAGGTTCAAAAATTAGATGACTAATTAGTACTCCCTCCGTCCCTAAATTACATTCCTCTTTCTCTCTATTATGTGAGGAATAAATGTTAGAAAGAGGAATGTAATTTAGGGACGGAGGGAGTATTCAATAATGAACTAATTCTGGGCTTTCTTTGATGGAGCATGGAATACCGTGGCTGAAATTGATTCCGAGTACCGCTTTACCCCAAGAACTTACAATTAATACAGTAAATAAAAACGTTTTCCATGACTAGCGTGTAGTGTACCCACTCAATATACTCTTCCGTTTTTTTTTTAATTACCTACGAAATATCCAATTTTTTAAATGCACCACTGTAATTGTAAATAACTCTGCATAAGTGCATAATAAAAACTAGTTTTTTGGCCCGGGCGTTGCCCCGGGTTATTGTATGCATATAAAAATACTATATTAAAAAGGAAAAATTAGAAAAAATAATCTCAACTTTCATTTATTCTGGAATAATCCGAACTTTGGGGGGTCTTCTTTTTCATCAATCCCAAATACCGGTTACCGGTTGAATGAGTTATTTATTTATTTTTTTAATTAAAGTGACACGTGTCACGAATCTATTGGCTAAAAAAATTAAAAAAAAAATTTAAAAACAAATTAAGAACAAAACCCACCAGCCAAAGCCCAACCACCTAGCCAATCCGGCAACCGCCCATGCCAGCCACCTACATACATGGGTGGTTTTATAAAAACAATGTCGACCATTTGTTAATTATTAATTAATATGAAGTAACTAAATATTATATCGTATCATTAAAATTTCTTCTAGTAACAAATTTCTTAGTTAAAAAAAAAACCTTTATTTAAATTTGGGTTACACATTTTAATACTTAAATATAAGTGTATAACTTATACTAAAGGTTGAGTAATGGAAAAAAATGAAATTAATTTTATAATTATATTGTTGTCAAAATATACACATATAAGTTGGCTATTAAAATTTTTGTATTTATGAACATGAATAACTCTTTTTAATACAACTTTATTATCATAAGATTTGTTGTTGGAGTAATGGTAAAGTTTAACTTTAATGAAGATGAGGTCATGGGTTCAAATACTATTGCTCACAAATTATTAATTTTTGTGTGGAAACATTGATGATTGGTAATAGTATGTGACATGATAACACGTGACAAGATTACAATGCTTGCCTTTGAGTTTTAATATATATATTGATGTGAATATCAAGATGGTTTCTCCTCATTTCCTCATATAGACTATAGAGTAACTATGTATTTCCTTACATGTTGTAAATTGGTACGACATTTTAAAACAGGAGGATATCTCTTTACGAGAGTAGATAAAAGCAATTATTGATGTATGATGTACTAATAGTTGTTTTAATAATGATTATTTTAGTAATATTTAATTTTTCTTTATAGGAAGAAGAATTGTATCCAAATTTTAGATGGGTCAACCCAACCTAACCCCAAAAGTTTTGACAGCTCACGATATCGAATGTTCTAGTAAATATTTTGGTATTTAGTCCGTATTCTCTAACATCAATATATATTGTAGTACATATATGGAGAAAGAAACCAAATTTGTTTGGTAAAGTTAGTGAAAAACTCATCTTATGACTTAAATACTTCTATTCTCACGCCGTAAATTGCATAGAGTAACTAATAATTGCTGTAAAATGATGTACAGTATAATTTATATTAAGATGTACAATTCCTGTCAAAAAAAATATTAAGATGTACAATTTTGTCAATTTATATTGAGATGTACAATCGAGGTTTAAATATTGTAATAGCTGCATAATTTATGTAACTGTTGTAAAATTATGATTGAAATATGAATTTTTTTTATTTTTTTTTTGACGGGGATTGAAATATGAAATTAGAATTGCAACACATCACATCTACACTCCATTCATATTTACCCAATCAATTTTTGTTCGTATGATAGCTATAATAAGTCTGTATAAAAACCCTACCACATGTAACGATGTCCCAATCTTTTGAAAGAAAAAATAAAGTTTTCTTCTTAATAGTCAGCATAACATTAACACACAATAGTCATGGTCTTAATTATTGGCAGATTTCACACTAATAATTGCAATTAATTGTAATAAATAGCTTTTGCTCATCAAAAAAAAAAAAAAAAATACTCGTATTGATTTTGAAATTGTTGTAATTAGTTTTGAGTGTAAAACACAAACCCAGCCTTCCCATATCATAGTCAACATTAAATCCCCGGAAAAAGACAGAGTATGCAGTTAGTTCTCTCCTTCATCACATGGATAAATAAGTACATTATATAAATTATCTTGTCACCCTTGTTCATCAAACATTCACTCACCCAGACAAAATATCAAAGTTTGTTTAAATCACATTGGAGTTTTAGACTTTCAGTAGTAGTAAAATAAAGCAGAAGCTTAGCTGCTGCAATGGCGGTCAGAGGAGCTGCAGTGACACCAAAGTCAGTTCTGCCAACGAATCTAACGCCTTCTTTCAGAAACAAAACTCACTCGAAGCAGGTTTGCAATTACTATTGTATATTTGTATTATTACTTCACCTTAAACTTTGATTTTATTCTGTTCATGATCATATTGTACATATAGGAGATTTCCTAGAAGCGTTTACAGCAGAAACAATATAAGTGTTGTCATTTGCTTCAAAAAAAAAAAAATATAAGTGTTGTCATTGCGCTGAAAAGATTTATACTGTATCAGAAATGTGATGATTAAATTGACATACTGTACAACACAAATAATGGTGTAATTTTTGCAGATTTCTGTGAAAGTTTCGGCTAGCAGCTCAGACAAGCATGATCAAAGTAGTAACTCTAGTAAGTCAATCAGAAAAGAAAGAAATGGCTGGAAAATCGATTTCACCGGAGATAAACCACCCACCCCATTGTTAAACACTATCAACTATCCTTTGCACATGAAAAACCTGTCTACTCAGGTAAGACAAAGATTCTAGTTTCTGGCTTTCTGCTGTTATTGATTCTCACCGCTTCCTGTAACCGACAGGATCACTGAAAACAATGCAGTTAGCTAGAGATGCATAATTTTATTTGTTATTAGCTTATTTTACAGCAAAAGATGAGCATGAAATCAGGCCCCTAAAAGATTATGTCCCCCTCCACCCTTTGCTAATGAAATGCTTGTTGTTCAGGATCTTGAACAACTTGGTGCAGAGATAAGAGTTGAACTTGTTTACTCAGTGGCAAAGACAGGCGGGCACCTTAGTTCTAGCTTAGGGGTGGTGGATTTAACAGTAGCTCTACATCATGTATTCAACACGCCTGAAGACAAGATTATATGGGATGTTGGTCATCAGGTGAGAATTTTGGAATATAATGATTTGCTTTAAAAAAAAAATTGGAAAAAATTCAACTGAAGTTCATTTTCCATTTAAAATCAGGTTTTGAAATTCATTTTCCTTTGTTTGTTGCATTACCAAAATGTTAAAGAAAATTGGGAAATGGGAAATGAGGGGAGGTTAAGAAAGGTTAGGCTTTGGGAAACTATTTTGGCAATTTGCATTTCACAATCTTATAAAATCATTTTACCCCTTCACAACCAAATGTTGATTTATTAGGACAATGACTTTCTAGGAGAATAATTTTCTTGATTTCTTCCCATCACAACACAGCATAAAGTTATACAGCAGGAAAGTCAAGTTGCTCGACGATAGACAACCTATCTTTCCTCAATAAATGCAAAGTTGACGAAACAAAACTGTAATGAATTTTGCAGGCATACGCACATAAAATTCTAACAGGAAGAAGATCTAAGATGCACACAATAAGGAAGACCTCAGGAATTGCAGGGTTTCCTAAAAGAGAAGAGAGTATCTATGATGCTTTTGGTGCAGGGCATAGTTCTACTAGCATATCTGCTGGTCTTGGTATGGTATTTTCATATTAGAGCACTGTAGTTTATCAGAAATACAAAGCTTGTCACTTTACTGAAGAAATTATACAAGTTTGCAGGTATGGCAGTTGCAAGAGATCTTTTAGGAAAAAAGAATAATGTTATATCAGTGATTGGGGATGGAGCAATGACTGCAGGGCAGGCATATGAGGCTTTAAATAATGCAGGGTTCCTTGACACTAACCTGATTGTCATATTGAATGACAATAAGCAGGTTTCGTTGCCCACTGCAACACTTGATGGCCCTGCAACTCCTGTCGGGGCACTCAGTAGAACACTAGCAAAGCTTCAAGCATCTCCAAATTTCCGGAAATTACGTGAAGCAGCCAAGGTAAACATAAAGCCCGGTAATAACTTCAATGAGTTAGCATTTTTCTTCATTTGAAGAAGCTGATATCTGACTTGTATTCTTCTATTGTTAAGGGCATAACAAAGCAGATTGGAGGGAAAACACACATGGTTGCATCAAAAGTTGATGAATATGCAAGAGGCATGATTAGTAGTGCAGGATCAACTCTCTTTGAGGAACTTGGTTTATACTACATCGGACCTGTGGACGGGCATAGCATGGTAGACCTAATCACCATATTGAAGCAAGCCAAAGAAATTCCAGCACCAGGACCAGTTCTAATTCACGTAGTGACTGAGAAAGGAAAGGGTTATCCACCAGCAGAAGGAGCATCTGATAAAATGCATGGTGAGACTGCAAACTGAAACTATATCTCCTCGCATAATAAAGAAGTGAACTTACATATGATTAACTGGACTGAAACTTCCGTTGCTCTTGCAATCAATCTTTTTAGGAGTTGTAAAATTTGATCCCAGATCAGGGGAGCAATTCAAGTCCAAATCCCCAACACAGTCATATACGCGGTACTTTGCCGAGTCGTTGATAAAAGAAGCTGAAGGAGATGAGAAGATTGTGGCTGTTCATGCTGCAATGGGTGGAGGAACAGGTTTAAATTATTTCCAAAAGAGATTTCCAGATCGCTGCTTTGACGTGGGTATAGCAGAACAACATGCAGTAACATTTGCAGCAGGTTTGGCTACCGAAGGCCTCAAGCCTTTTTGCACCATCTACTCATCATTTCTACAGAGAGGATATGATCAGGTGAAACATCATATTGGTCAAATAAAAAACTAAAAACCCTTACTTTCACAGTTCCCCTGCTAATAGCTTGTCGCATATATGCAGGTAATACATGATGTAGATCTTCAGAAACTGCCAGTCAGATTTGCAATGGATAGAGCAGGTTTAGTGGGTGGAGATGGACCAACCCATTGTGGTGCATTCGATATCACCTACATGGCCTGTTTGCCTAATATGGTTGTCATGGCTCCATCAGATGAAGCAGAGCTGATGCACATGGTTGCAACTGCAGCAGCTATTGATGACAGACCAAGTTGTTTCAGGTACCCGAGGGGAAATGGGATAGGAGTTGCCCTTCCTCCTGGAAATAAAGGAACACCACTTGAGGTTAGCACCAAAAACAACCACCTTGAAATTTAGTGAGAGCAAAAATATATGTACAGGATTAATACATCCAGAATATTATACTTCGTATGTACTTGAGCACTACTAATTATTTGCATCTACCTTCAATACTTGAACAGGTTGGAAAGGGAAGAATATTGAAAGAGGGGTGCAGGGTAGCACTGCTGGGATATGGAACTATTGTGCAAAAGTGCCTAGAAGCCTCAGTTTTGCTGAAATTTTGGGACATCTCAGTGACAGTAGCTGATGCAAGGTTCTGCAAACCTCTTGATGGTGATCTTATTAAACACCTAGCAAATGAACATGAAATACTTATAGTTGTTGAAGAGGGTTCTATAGGAGGTTTTTCATCTCATGTGTCGCACTTCCTCGGTCTGAATGGTATTTTGGACGGATCTCTTAAGGTGATTTTACAGCAAAAATATGAATACTGAATTCCTCTGTCACACTTTTTTTTTTATTATTTTTTTTTTTCCTATGCTTCTTTAGACTCACCCCATCTCATTCTACACAGCTAAGAGCAATCATCCTTCCTGATAGATACATTGACCATGGAGACTACGAAGATCAGTTGGAAGAAGCAGGATTGACTTCAAAACATATAGCTGCAACTGTGCTGTCAATGTTGGGAAAGCAAAAGGAAGCTCTAACACTTTAGGTTCAGAAAATAGGTGCACAGAAACAAGTTACCATCACATGTAAATCTATATATCTTGGCAGATTCAGTTGTGGAATACCTAAAACATATTGTGGCCAATTTTGATGGTTTACCATGTTTGTCTTTGCCAATGTGCCCTTCCTAGCATAAACAAGACATGTATTATACTTGTATTAAACACAGACACTACAAGAGATTAAGAAGGAAAAAAAAAAGTAAAAGAATAATCATGTGTCATAAAAGTTTTTGATAATTGAATATAGAAACTACAAGTACTCCATAGGTTTTCCAGCAAGGAACAATGATGATACTCCCGGATAAGTAGCACAAAAATGGCATGATTTGGTCTACAATAGTCTTCAACTGTAGGATTTAAAATCTATAAGAGGTGTGATTGTCTCATCTTGATGCTAGGATTGGCTTGGGGTACTTCCCAGTGAAGGGAGGGGCAGGGATCTTGGTCACACATTAAATATAACATCCTACCAAGATATTGGCATGCGAACAAATATAAGGTCAGATTTTATTTGTATATCCTTCTGATATTGCATTCCCTTCTGATTTTTCGCCTCATCTATCTATGATAAGTGCATTGGGTAGGTTACTTTAGTCAATTAAGTGACAGGACGGAAAGTGTAGGGGACCCAAAGTGGGACAAAGGTTAACTACCATTTTGGGATTTGAAACTCCAGTTCCTCACAATGCTTTTAAACAGAAATCCAACACAAACACAACAATTCTCCATTCTTGCTCCCCTGAAAATATAAGTAGGTTAACAGGTCAATTTTAAAAGCCCTTTTAGGTGACTAGTTGAAAACAAAAAAGCCACATATAGTCAGTAATGGCACTTAAAGGTACAATAAAAATATAATACAGCCTAGGGGGACCATAATATACAGAACTGAATACCATACCTCTTTATTTGGAGCCCTTGCTCAAAAACACACAATGGTTGACTGAACTTCATGCAGCACCGCAAGAGCTAGCTAGGGTAGATCAATTAGCAGTGTGGGCTGATGCGACAGGTGTTCATTCAATTTGTGAGATCACATAGCACTTTTCTACCTTCACTTACCAATCTTGTAATGATTAGATCACCAATAATCTTTGCAAGAGCAAACCCCATCCTTAAAATGGTGAAATCTCTTGGTATCTCTGGCAATTATCTCTCTCCCGACTACTTTTGTAACTAACTTTATCCAAGCATGGCAATCCCCACAAACTTTCAAATTTTTGTAAATCCTAATGCAGCTGGTTTTCCCAGAGGTCTTCCATAGGGAAAAGGCTATGGCTAGTTTCTCACTGTGATAGTACAAGGACCGCTCCTTCTCCTTCTCATTCAGGTTCTGTAGCACAAACTCAGTAGCTGGAACATACCCCAACTCCTTAACTTTCTTCATCAGTTCCTTTATTATACAATCTATTTCTTTAAAATTTGGTTGGGAGCAATTCCCTGCCATGAAAGTGTGAACCTCTCCGCCTATGATCACCCAGCTCATAGCAGGACTCTTTTTCAGTCTATTCTCTCTCATCAAAGACTTTACACAAATAACCTGATTCCAGTCACCTTTTGATGCATAAAGATTGGAGGATAGAACTAAGCTTCCCTCGTCTTTAGGAGACAGCTCAATTACTTTATTAAATATCCTCCCTGCCATGGTAATGTCTCCATGGAGTCTACAAGCACTCAGCAGAGTCCTCCACAAAACAATATCTGGATTATCAGCTTGATTTATTAGTGCTTCTGCCTCCTGAAGCCTTCCAGCACGTCCATAAATATCTACCATGCAAGCATAATGTTCTTTAGTTATCCGAATATTACGATAGCCAAAAAAAGAATCAAAGATGCGACGGCCTTCATCAACCAGCCCTGCATTGTCGCATGCTAACAGAACACTAACGAGGGTAACGTCATTGGGTTCAAGCCCCAAGTCATTCATTTGCTGAAAAAGCTCAAGTGTTTTGTGTTCAAAACCATTCTGAGCATAAGCATACATCATTGTGTTCACAAGCACCAGATCACGGGCAAACAAGCCATCATAAACCAGCTTAGCAAGTTCCACACAGCCACACCTCCCATAGAAATCAATCAGAGCAGCACCAATAAACTTATTTAAGTGTAAGCCTAATTTTAGTATAATGGTGTGGATTTGTTTCCCTTGGTCAAGTGTTGCAAGGTTGGAACATGCAACAAGAGCCCCAGACATGGTAAAACAGTTTGGAAGTACAGAGCTGCGCATCATTTGACAAAATTTGGATAGGGCAACTTCCTCTCTACCATTCTGCAAAAGACCAACAATAAGGGATGTCCAAGTCACCAAGTTTGGGTTAACAAGATGCTCAAAAACCTTAAGTGCATCATCAACCATGCCACATTTCGAGTACATGGTCAGAAGTGAAGTCTGCGGAGAAACTCCAAACTCATGACCACATTTGATTATAAACCCATGTATTAACATGCCAAGACATGAATGCTTCAAGTTACCACAACTCACCAATAAGCTCGTAAAAGTGTACTCATTCGCCTTAACTCCTTCCTTAATCATCTGATTAAAAGCCTTCATTGCTTCACAATCTTCCCCATTTTGAACATAGCCAACAACTAAAGTAGTAAACAAGATCACATCTTTCTCCACAACTCGATCCACTACCAAGTGAGCATTCCTCATTTGACCAAGCTTGGCATACATATCAACAAGGGCACTTCCAACAAACACATTTGAAACCTCCAACCCCAAAACAACCGCTTTCCCATGAGCTTTCTTGCCATCACAAACAAGACCCAGATCAGAAAACGCTTTCAAGACACAGGACAACGTAAAATCATCCGGACAAACTCCCTCCACCGCCATCCGTTTATACAAAGCCACGGCTTCAGGACTCCTATTTTGCCTAATATAGCAAGAAATCATGGCATTCCAAGCAACTACATGTCTCTGAGGCAATTAGTCGAACAGTTGGTGTGCATAAACAAGGTTGCCAAGTTTTAAATACGCATTCATGAGCTTATTGCCTAATCTTAGGTAAGGAAAACCTTGATTTCTCATATGGGTATGAATGCTTCTGATTTCTTCTGTAGAATTTGAATTTTGGATGAGAGAGATGTAGTTCTCTGAAACATGTTTGAGGTTTGTGCCATTTGAATGCAATGAAAAGGCCAATTGTTCTAGGATTTGGGTTGAAGATGAAGTTGTTTTTCCAATGATTTGTTGGGTTTTAGTTTGATTGAAAGTGTTGGTTTGTAGAGCTCTCACAAATTTGGAAGATTTCCAAGGTTTTACCCGCCATATCATGACTTGTTGGTTTATGGCCTCAAGTTGTTCATTCTTGTCTGCATGAACCAGAGTGTAGTTGACTTAATTGCAACACGCACTTTATTACCATATCCTTCCTTACCTTATAAAAAATAGGAGATTGCGCTTATAAATAGTGCACGGACGTATATACCCTTCAAAATGTTTGTTTACGTTCTTACCCCCATATATAATTGCTTACATTTATGTCCTTCCACGTGTACAGATGTAATAATGAGTGTTAAGCTTTTCCTCTCCTTATATTTATACACTTTTATATTATTTATTTATATTATAGGTAAATATATTATAGGTAAATTTAAAGTTCACCAATATTACGATATTGCATTGTTGAATAATTGCATAGATGTTTCCTAAAAAAAAAAAAGTTGTAAACAACTGAAAAAGCCGTGCATGAAAAATGAAAAGTTTAAACACAACCCAATATACACATTCCATTAATTTATCAAATTATTTACTCTAAAACCCAATGTCGTGTAGTGTTTAAACACAATCCAATATAACATTAAGAAAGGGCAAACCACTCTGCGCGCAACGCGCGCGTTAACTGCCCTAGTTTAAGAAAAGTAGACCTCATACCCCGTAATACACTTAAATATGGTTAAAAGGTCGTTAGGGGTATAATCAAGTAGGTCATGTGCTTTGAATAAAGATAAAGACTTGAACTGAACATGACTCAAACCTGAGAATGACCTAACCTGATTTTAACCCGCAAATTATAAACTTGAACCGAACCCGACTCGAACTCGAGAATTACCCTAACCCGTTTTAATCCGTGAAAACCCGAATCAAACCTGACCTACTGTTCACCCGACCCGAATATAACTCAACCTGTTATTAACCCGACCTAAACCCTAACCCGATAAGAAGTATAATCCGACGTGTCACGACTCAAACATGCCCAACCTAAAACCCGACCAGCATAGGTTATGGAATTAATCCAAATTGACTCGACCCAAACCCGACCTGTTTACCCGAATTGACAGCTCTACCCGAAACCTCCAAAATTTCTCAAAAACGTGGATATTAGCCTTCAATATTGGAATTTTTTGACTTTTTTTCACCCGCAAATAAAAATTGCTGAAATGTTTACCATGGTCCTTAATAGTCTAATACCCTCCCGGGAGCCCAATTAGCTGGGTGGAACCATCCAATTTGCCTTTAAACAACCAATTTACCGGTTTACAACTTCCACTGGTTTCATTAACTCAAGCTTACCATGAACATTTATGACAACATATAATGATCATATATGGATCCAAACGGCATTATATAACCCCGAGATGTATCCCCTAAAATCTCGATGCTTTTCGACACCGGGCCCCGAAACATTCAAAATTTCTCAAAAAGCGTGGATATTAGCCTTTAATTTTGGAATTTTTTGACTTTTTTTTTGCCCGGATATAAAAATTGCCGAAATTTTTACCATGGTCCCAAATACCACCCGGGAGTCAAATTGGGTGGGTGGAACCATCCAATTTGCCTTTAAACGACCAATTTACCAGTTTACAACTTACATCGATTTCAGTAATTTTAGCCAACCACGAACATTTATGACCACAAATAATGATCATAAATGGTTCCAAACGACATTATATGACCCTGAAATATATTTCCTAAAATCTCAAGTCTTTTAGACACCTCCAAAATTTCTCAAAAAACGTGGATATTAGCCTTCAATTTTGGAATTTTTTGACTTTTTTTCGTCCGTACATAAAAATTGCCGAAATTTTTACCATGGTCCCTTATATCATTCGTGATTACAATTGGATGGGTAGAATTGAACCATCAAATTTGCCTTTAAACGGCCAATTTACCGATTTACAACTTGCACCGATTTCATTAACTCAAGCCTACAACGAACATTTATGACAACATATAATGATCATATATGGTTCCAAAAGGCATTATATGAGCCCGAGATGTATCCCCTAAATCCTCAAGGATTTTCGACACCAGGCTCCGAAACCTCAAAAATTTCTGAAAAAGCGTGGATATTAGCCTTCAATTTTGGATTTTTTTTTTCGCCCGAAAATAAAAATTTTCAAAATGTTTACCACGGTTCCTAATACCCTTTAGGGGTCCAATAGGGTGGGTGGAAGCATCCAATTTATCTTTAAACAACCAATTTACCGGTTTACTATTTGTAGCGATTTTATTAACTCAAGCCTACAACGAACATTTATGACAACAAATAATGATCATATATGGTTCCAAAAAGCATTATATGACCCCTAGATGTATCCCCTAAAATCTCAAATCTTTTCAAAACCAGGCTTCGAAACCTCAAAAATTTCTAAAAAAGCGTGGATATTAGCCTTCAATTTTGGAATTTTTTGACTTTTTTTAGCCCAAAAATAAAAAATTTCGAAATGTTTACCATGGTTCCTAATACCCTCTAAGGGTCCAATAGGGTGGGTGGAAGCATCCAATTTATCTTCAACGACCAATTTACCGGTTTACTATTTGTACCGATTTTATTAACTCAAGCCTACAACGAACATTTATGGAAAAAAATAATGATCATATATGGTTCCAAAAAACATTATATGACCCCTAGATGTATCCCCTAAAATTTAAAGACTTTTCGACACCAGGACCCGAAACCTTCAAAATTTCTCAAAAACCGTGGATATTAGTCTTAAATTTTGGAATTTTTTGACTTTTTTTTTTGCCCGGAAATAAAAATTTCCGAAATGTTTACCACGGTCCCTAATACCCTCCAGGAGTCCAATTGGGTGTGTGGAACCATTCAATTTGCTTTTAAACGGCCAATTTACCGGTTTACAACTTTCACTTATTTCATTAACACAAACCTACCACGAACATTTATGACAACATATAATGGTCATTTATGGTTTCAAACGTCATTATATGACCCCGAGATGTATCCAATAAGATCTCATTTATTTTCGAAACCAGGCCCTAAAAACTTCGGAATTTCTCAAAAAACGTGGATATTAGCCTTCAATTTTGGAAAATTTTGACTTTTTTCGCCCAAAAATAAAAATTGCCGAAATGGTTACCATGGTTCCTAATACCCTCTGGGGGGTCCAATAGGGTGGGTGGAAGCAACCAATTTGCCTTTAAACGACCAATTTACTACTGGTTTACAAAGAATTTGCACCGATTTCATTAACTCAAGCTTACCACGAACATTTATGACGATATATAATGATCATATATGGATCCAAACGACATTATATGACCCCGAAATGTATCCCCTAAAATCTCGATGCTTTTCGACATCGGGCTCCGAAACATTCAAAATTTCTCAAAAAACGTGGATATTAGCCTTCAATTTTAGAATTTTTTGACCTTTTTTGCCTGGATAAAAAATTTCCAAAATGTTTTCCATGGTCCTAAATGCCCTCCGGGAGTCCAATTGGGTGGGTGGAACCATCCAATTTGCCTTTAAACGACCAATTTACTAGTTTACAACTTACACCGATTTTAGTAATTCAAGCCTAACACAAACATTTATGACCACAAATAATGATCATAAATGGTTCCAAACGACATTATATGACCCCTAAATATATTCCCTAAAATTTCAAGTCTTTTCGACACCGGGTCCCGAAACCTCCAAAAATTCTCAAAAACGTGGATATTAGCCTTCAATTTTGGAATTTTTTGACTTTTTTTCGTCCGTAAATTAAAATTGCCGAAATGTTTTTCATGGTACCTAATATCCTCCAGGAGTACAATTGGATGGGTGGAACCATCCAATTTGCCTTTAAACGGCCAATTTACTGTTTTACACCTTGCAATGATTTCATTAACTCAAGCCTACAACGAACATTTATGTCAACTATAATGAATATATATGGTTCTAAACGGCATTATATGACCCAGAGATGTATCCCCTAAAATCTCAAGGATTTTCGACACCGGGCCTCGAAACTCTAAAATTTCTCAAAAACCGTGGATAATAGCCTTAAATTTTGGAATTTTTTAACTTTTTTTTTTCGCTTGTAAATAAAAATTGCCGAAATATTTACCAAGGTCCCTAATACCCTCCGTGAGTCCAATTAGGTGGGTGAAACCCATCCAATTTGCCTTTAAATAGTGAACTTGTCGGTTTACAAATTGCACCGATTTCATTAACTCAAGCCTACCACGAACATTTATGACAACATCTTATGATCATTTAAAAACAGTATTATATGACCCCAAGATGTATCCCCTAAAATCTCAAATCTTTTCGACACCGGGCCCTGAAAGCTCAAAATTTTCTCAAAAAGCGTGGATATTAGCCTTCAATTTTAGAAATTTTTTACTTTTATTCATCCGAAAATAAAAATTGCCGAAATGTTTACCATGGTTCCTTATACCATCTGGATGTCAAATAGGGTGGGTGGAAGCATCCAATTTGTCTTTAAATGACCAATTTACTTGTTTACAACGAACTTGCACCGATTTCATTAACTCAACCTTACCACGAACATTTATGACAACAAATAATGATCATAAATGGATACAAACGACATTATATGACCCCGAAATTTAACCCCTAAAATCTCGATGCTTTTCGACACCTGGCCCAGAAACATTTGAAATTTCTCAAAAAGTGTGGATATTAGCCTTCAATTTTGGAATTTTTTTACTTTTTTCGCCTGGATATAAAAATTGTCGAAATGTTTACCATGGTTCCTAATATCCTCTGAAGGTCCAATAGGGTGATTGGAAGCATCCAATTTGCCTTTAAACGACCAATTTACTGGTTTACAACTTGCACCGATTTCATTAACTCAAGCTTACCACGAACATTTATGACAACATATAATGATCATATATGGTTCACAACGGCATTATATGACCCATAGATGTATCCCCTAAAATCTCAAGGATTTTCGACACTGGGCCTCGAAACCTCCAAAATTTCTCAAAAACCGTGGATAATAGCCTTAAATTTTGGAATTTTTTGCCTTTTATTTCGCCTATAAATAAAAATTGTCGAAATGTTTACCATGGTACCTAATACCCTCCGTGGGTCCAATTAAGTGGGTGGAACCATCCAATTTGCCTTTAAATAGTGAAT